ACTCAGTATAAAATTCAATTTTAATTTGTTGATTAAAACCAGATTATCGTTAACGATAGCATTGAGTAGCACTCAGTACTCGCTCGATCTGTGCTCTTTCACTTGACCTCTTTATTTGCTTTGGTAGTAATTACACACATCTCACCTCATTTATTTATTTCCTTACTGCGATTGTCTTTTCTACGTATCCATGCTAAAGTTTTTTCAAGGAGAAGGTAAAAAAGTAGAAAAGAGAAAGGATAAATTGATGAAAGTTTGCACAGTAGTAGTGTAGTGAGGTAGAGAGAGGATGACAAAGAAGGTGACATTGCCTACTCCTCAATGATAGTGTCAATTGCCGCTGCTGCTACTGCTGCTGACATTTGGACCTAACGAAAGAAGGGTTTGAGGGAGAAGATTGAAAGGTTAGAAGTGGTACGGAGAGATGAAGTTAAAGCTCGTCAACCACTTGCATTTAAATACAGGTTCCTTGTTAATGGTTTCTCTCTCTCTCTCCCTCTCTCTCTGATTACATTTTACTGCTATGCCTTTCTCATACTATCCTCTGTTCGGTATTTGTTTCTTCAGGAGTGCTCTTCAAGTGGTTTTTGTATTAATTCCCTCATCGATTTCCTTTTGCCTCTGCTGTCATGAGTGGGTTGAGAGTGTGGTGGTGGTGATGGTGGTGGGTGGTAGGTTGTGTGGAACATGTCATCCATCTACCTTGACAGCCGCCAGCTGCTGACATCACACTCATTGCGGAGTAGTACTCAGGATGGAAGGTGAAATTGGTTAGTTCACTACTATCGCCAAACATACATGAGAATTAGAGACAGGTGAATATACTCTCAGCATGAGCAATTTTATATTAGCTACATTAAGATTACTTTTTTTTCTCTCACAGAATTCTTGAATTATTTTCTTTATTTTAGTGTTAGTAAAAACTCATACCTTCTTCACTATAAATTATGCATCGTTATCGGTTCAATTAAATTTAGCATTCTTTGCTTAAATTACAACGCAGCAATACCAATCAAATATAATGAAGAAATGGTTGAATTTTTTAAGTATCATAATACATTTCTAACAGTAATATAAAGTAAAAAATGAATGTCTTATATTGAATGTTGACGAATAAACTAAATTAGCAGTGTAATAAGTTAGTTCTTGAAATTGCTGAAGATGACAAAAGTTAATCATTCTGGTTGAAATAAAATGAAATAAGCGATAATAAGAAGGAAGATCAGTTGTAAATTGCTAGTCAACAGCAATCAACAACCAAAACGGAACAATCAGGAATGCTTGATGATCGCTCTATTCTGTTGGCCATTTGCTGTGTTCTCCATTGCTATATTCGAAGGACATCAACCAACCAACCAACTAACCATTCTACTCTTTCCATTTTTCTTTGCTCCCCCCCTTCCTTTCCCCCCTTTTACCCTACCTTCTGTAATTGTATTTACTTGTTCGGGTTGATTTGTTAATGGGTTGTGCGGAAAAGTTGACATATTGTGAATCGCCTATGTCCATAATAATATATGTATGTATGGATGATATTTGTGTATGTGTGTGTGTGTGTATGTATGTGTCACATATGGAGGAGTGGTTAATTTTTGCATTATTCATTATTATCCATCCATTTAGAATGAAACAGTATTCTTCCATCCACTCATCCTCATCATCACCTTATCGTTTTAAAACCTTTTCTTCATCCTCACTTATCTTATAAAATTACTTCCTTTTAATATTTCTCTTTTATTATCATTATTTCTATTCCATTTTGGAATTTTATCGTTATATTTTTAGCTAATTTACTCATCTTTTTCCTACTTATCATCTATGATGTTGGAGGAGATAGTAATCTTATTACTTCGTTATCTATATCTTTTTTATCACCAATCCATGAACTAACTATGAATACATGGATAATGCTGATGATATTGATAATTTGAATGCTGACTGGATCATTTCAATATTTAATCGATTATGTATAAATTTTTCGTGATTCTTATTTGAATATATTTTTGTTTTAGAGAAGGTATATCTAGAATGGAAGAACACTTTTATTGTTGGACATATGCCTACTTTTATTGTTTACCTTTGATGCAGCTCACATCTCATCATCCTCTCCCTCTCAAAAGTTGAGTTAAGTTCTGTAGATGTGTAATGAATATAGCTCTTTAGCTATCAAATACCACTCATTTCGGAATTGTTTGCAATCTTTTGTTTCATCTACTGTCTTCTGAAAAATACTGATTAACTAATGAAAATCAAATCGATTTGATACAATTTTCTTAGATAATTTTACTAGTGACAATTTGCAGTCTTTTAATGAAACAGGCTCAAAGATTTATTTTGAACTATACAGTTAAATTCTTCATACTTCCTGTGTTACGTGGTCGTTTTTATTTTTTATTTTTGAAAATTAAAAGTAGATCTGTTGAATTTTTGATATATATATAAAATATGTACGAGCACATCGGTCATGGATGAAATGATGATTCGATCAGTTTAACAACTGCAAATATCTAATGATTCCTCTTCTCCTTGTAATACTTTAGTAGTTATTTCGATGTTTAGAGCCTAATCAGCTAGACAATATAATGAAATTACATGATTGCGAACGTTTTTCATTTTCACCAAAGATAGAACATTACTCTGTAATAGTATGTGCAATTTTTCCATGTGTCATCAAATAGTGCACTTTGTATGTGTCGCAGCATCAAAATATATCGCAACTTTTAGTGGTACAAAGGTATGGTATATTATGCATTCAAATTGGATTCATTGTAACTAAATTTAAAAATATTAAAGTTTTGTTATAAAAAGCAAAAATTGGTTGGATTAGATTTAATTAGTAGTATGTCTTCAAGTGAAAATTTTTAAATTTTCCTATCATATTATAATAGATATATCTGTGTACATAGAAAGGGAGAGAGAGACGGAGGTGCATTTTATCCTCTTCATATACATATATGTATTGGTAATGGTAATAAGATCTTTTCACGATCAGATAATACTATTTCTTTTTCGTTTTGCTGTGCATGATTTCTTATCATTTGTTGATGATGATTTTGTAGAAACATTTCATTCACTTTAACATCGTTGGTAATTTAATGAGAGTTCGTTATGTCTATCTACAAGATGTTTCATTATTATTATTATTGTTGTTGTTGTTGATTAGTGCTGCTATTTGGGACTTTTGAGAGTAGCAGTGTTACAAATGAGACTTTTTGTAGGTAAATGGAGAGAGTGTAGGGATGCATGCAATGGGCCGCTTCTCACCTGTCCCATGATAAGTGTGCATGCGGATGCATTAATGCATGCAAATGGCCAAAGGAGCATGATGATAGATTATAGCTGAGACTGAGTTGGCCAGTATTGCATATATAGAAGGAAGGAAAGGGTTAAGAAGGGAGGTGATGATGACTGCATCTTAGTTTGAAAGTAGAAGGAAAGAGGATGATGCAAGGAGGAGATATGGCAAAGAGAGAAGCATTGCTGCTGCTTATCGCCTCACAATGCTGGTCATGTCACCGAGCGCCAAGCATGTGTATATGCGCGAATGGCGGGGAGAGAAGAGGTAGCTAAGGGTCGGGTCATGTCATCATGTCATGTCATTTTATTTCATGGGTGTGCTAGCTAAATATGAACGAACAGAGGGAAGAGTGAATTGGGTTCTGATGTGGTGCAAAGGGACTGGGATTGAATTTCTTGAATGGTGAGAGAGGAAGGTAGGGGAGCTTGGAGCTTGCTTGATACCCCAAGGGCAGCAGCAAAGCTTAGTAAACAGCCACTTTAGCCCATCTACTATCGTCGTCGTTGTCGCTACGATTTATACGTGTATAATCGTTAACGTTTCTGGTTTCTCATCCTTTTTTCCATGTAGCCATTTTATACAAGCACCAGAAACGGACATGAAAATGCCCGCAGTGCTACTTACTTTCTTAGCTTTGTTTCAAATTCTCTGCTTGGCTGTTAAGCCTAGTGGTAATGGTTGCTGCAAGCTGTTATTGCAGTTAGGCTGCCACCACAATTTTGTCCTCAATAACATTCTCTTTTATGCTCCTTCTTACTCCACCTCTCATCATTTCATATTAGAAATTTGCATGCTGGATTCTGAGATTTTTGAGAGTTGCAGTACAGTCTTGAAAAAAAACAAAGGTTTTTTTAAAAGGATTGAAGTGGAGAAGATTAGTTTATCATCATCAATCGTTGTTTGTATGGGGTAAGCAGCAGTAATGACACAAGAATTAAAAATTGAATTAAGATAATATCTATTGATCATTTACTTCTTTAGTTCATCACTTTTTTTAAAAGGTATTGGCTCTCAGAGATAGAATTTTCGTTGAATAATTAATGTTATAGGTTTTTTGATCAAATTTCTGATTCATTTTGAAAGTGAATGTATGCTGTTACGAAATGAACCGTACTCATTAGTGATGCTTAAAAAGTGAGCTTGCATATTGGGGGAGGGGGGGCAGAGAAGGAAGGGGATGATAAGGCGGAGAAATAGCGGTTAGGAAGAAGTATGTCCAGAGTGTATGATTTGCTGGGCAGATTTCCCAATAATTTTACTGTAGGTGTAAACCCACAGGATTAATTGGTACGGGAAAAGATGGGGTAAACAATCTTTCTCATCTAAAATGATAGGGTAAAAGTAAATGACAATATATGTTGTTGACCATTTGATCTAAAAATCTTCCTCATCAACAACTAACTAGTGAAACATATCAAATCGAATTCAAGAATAATAATACCAGAAGAGAATACGATTGTATCAATTAATGAGACACAAGATGGGACATTTCTTATCTCTTCTACATTTTTTTTTTTTTTTTTGAGGTTATTTGAATGCATCTTTTGTTATCTTCTCTGCCATATTGCTAATAATGATTTATGTTCTATTCCATTTTATAATTTTTACATTTAGCTTGATTTGCTGTCCTATGAGAATGGAACGGATATACATATATGCTAAATATTTTCCAATTTTTTTTTTTCTCTATTTAGCTGAAGAGAGTGCTCGGCGCCTGGGACTTCGACTCAACCTAAGTATTTTCAAGTGTAGGTGAGCAAAGTTTCAGGTGTTCGAGCGCCTTCGCATTTTCCACTTCCTATGTCTTTTTTTTTTCAGTCTCATGAAATTAAAGGTCACATCAATTTTCATACATTAAGTGTGCTTCTGTCATATGATCCAGGATTATTTGCAGAAAAGCATAAGTTATAGAGTAGTATTGAAAGGAGATGATGAGATATATGTAGTCTCTCTTCATTATTGCAACATGTTTGGTGATTATTATTTGTGAAAATTGAAGAGAGACGAAAGAGGAAAGTGAAAAAGAAAAGGGATCGTTTAGACCGGATAGTTGCGGCACTCGAAGCAATTATAGTGGAAATTGTGCACATCTGTGTATGTGTATATACATCCATATATGTATGTGTATACATAGATCTGTCTATCTATATTGGTGATGCATTTTGATTATTGAGTTGATTGATCTATGAGCGATTGAAAGAGAAAGTAAATTATTGATTTCTCTTTTTTTTTTTGCTACCGGTAAAGGGCACTAATTAAACTTCTAGGCCTATTGATAGGGAGTATGTATGAATTTGCTCTCTCCCTCTTTCTCTCGAATTCTTTGTACTCTGTCATGAAACATATATCTGCACATTGAGTATTCAATAGGGACCGATCCCTTAGCAACAGCATGATATGACAGGTTTTTTTGTTTTTGTTTTGTTTTGCTCTTTAGTTTATTGAAGCACTGACATACATAAATAAAGTTTTTAGAAATTGCTTTGCAAAATTATCAGTAATGCAATTGAGGTGAACTTATTATATATATATTATTCACATTGTAATTATTGAAAAGAGTTTTAATGACTGTTCAAGATTTGCAGAAGTTTTGTGGGAGTTGCAATTACAGTATGACTCGTATAATAGTGCTTTAGTTTGTGTAACTTCTGTAAGAGGTATTCGAAGGACAAGTGAACCTCATTAGAATAAAAGATTCATTGTTAATCATATATGTGGGTGTACTGTAAAAGGAGGAGGAAGGATGTTTATTTGAACTTGCTTCTTCGTCTCTTTTGTTAAATACCCTTGGTTGATTGTTGACAGTTTGTCAATCAACGAGCACATTTACTCGAGAAAAGGGGAGGAGGTAGAAATGAAAGGCTGTTTATTATTGGTTATTGATGGATGCAGTAAATAAATGGTATGAATAGCAGTTGGTCAAAGCATTTAAAGCACGGTCAAATAATGATAAATTCTGTTCTGGTAATGCAGCTATTTTGGTTAGTAAAAATCCTTGAATAATTTAATTGGCTTAATATAATTCTTGAAATTGCTTATTTAAGTTAAAATGTCATAATTCATTTGATCTATTGTGATATATTTGGCCAAATTGCATCAAATATATTTGCTGGCAGTAGGAAGAAGAATGATATAACTGCAATGGTATATGTGGATTAGTTTTTACCATAAATGATGTGATGTAGACAAATTTATTTATAGCCCAGTAAAGTCCATGGCGAACATCAGGAGCAGTGGAGCCGACGAAATCGTTGTAAACATGCTCGTGTGCGCTATCATTCATCACCCACATCGGAGAGTGACGATCATTCACGAAGTACTTCAGTTCAACGTGATGTACAACTTAATGATTCATTTTCATCGGATTTAAATTCTCAAAAACGTGAAAAACGCTTGGCACATGCCCGACGTTTTGGTATTATACCTCCGTCACAAAGTGTTGATGTGAGTACAATTTTAGTTTCTGAAACATCATTTTCAATAGTGATGTTTGTAATAGTTAAATCATAAAATGTTTAGACTTGTTAATTCTTAGGGTTGAATATTATTTATTACACGATGCAGTTGCTCAGCATCATGTATCGTAATCAAGTTCATTTTTTTTTTCTTTTTTGTGACTTCTGTAATGGTTGATGCTTTTCACAGCGGTCGGAATTGCCCATATTAACAGGGAGAGAGTAGTTATATCTGTTCTCGAGTAAATTTTATCCTTTAACAACATAATAAACAGAAGCGATGAAATTAATATCCCAAAAAATTAAAATTAATATGCCATAGCACAATATGTAAAGAATTTTTTTTACAAAGCACCCATACTACCTAAACACTGTTCATTAGTAATACAAGTAATTATTAATGGTTCGAAATAAATTGAAATCTTACAACACTTATAAGTACTAAAGGTTCTTTTATTACTGTTATTATTTGAATTAGTTACAAAAAAGAATTTTAGATAGCATCCGGAATATATCATGTTGAGTGAGAATAGACAGATGAGCATGAATTTGCTTTGAAACATACATTAGTGTGATGAAAGAAGGTATAATATATTTGGTTCTCCGACCACTACCCTCAGTTAACTTTAAATAATGTGAATTATTGATATAATTCACATTTCATTTGCATTTGAATATTTATATACTTTTCATAATCAATATGACAAAATATAAGGGAGAGAAAAGGATGAACTTTCAGATTAAGGAAAGTGAAGTGGAAGAGTTATATCGTTCAATGGGTGTTCAAATGCGTAATTCTCGTCACAGACTTCATTCTGTCTATGTACGAGGTGTTGATGGCCTCTCAACATATCAAATTGAAAAGTAGAATTTTATTGCTACTGTACTTCGCCCTAGCTTATTTTTTGAGATTTCATCAGTCAGATATTGTTATAGTGATACCGTCGTTTAATTTTACTATCCGATAACTCCAACTTTTAGATTTAAAAATCCAATTTTATTGTGAGAGAGTTGTTTGTATGGCATTGTGGGTAAATTGTTTCGGGAAATGTAGTTGAAAGTGAGGGAAAAAGAATTCCTTGTGATATGAAATAAAGTTGTGTAATTTTAGTATTTCGTTTTGTGTTTTTCCTTTTTTTTTTTGTTTCATTTTTAGAATGTTCGCTGAGTTTGATCCAGTAGCAGTTGAAATGATCGATGAAGTGAGCTGTAATGTTATTTGGAATGATCGTTTTTCTGTTGCTAAAGTATGAATATTTTTTCTGCTAATAGTGAATTTTTTATTTCTTCAGGGAAACATATGAATAAATTCGATATCTTTCATTGCATGACGAATTGTATGGGTGTAAGAAAACAGTTGCATGTTTTTTCATTTTTTAAGTAATTCAGGCAGTTCAGCAAGTGATTAAAGTATTGGAGAGATTATATTGGATGTAACTTTTGCAAATTCTTTCTCTTTTGTTAATTAAAAAATTGCAACATGTTACTGTTGAAGATGATGCTAGAGATGACAAAACCGTTAAAACGAATTCGTAGCAGTCGGCAGGTAGAAGAAGGTGAAGTTGCTGATAGTGGTGAGGAAGAAGAAGATGGTGAAATGCGAGAGGAGCAGGGAGATGATGTAACGATCAGTGTGGCTAAAGGTTCTAAATTTACTTTTTCTTAGTTATAGCTGAGAAAATTTGTAACTTAGAATAGGGGATGAAGTCATACATCTGTGTGATAAAATTTATTTGGATATGATTATCAGCGATTCTAGAAAATTCCGGAAATGGGAGCTAAAAAGAAAGACGACGTCAATATTAAGAAAATTTACAGTTTTAGTTTTTTGAGAAAAATAGATAAAAAAAAAAAATTCTCAGGATTGTCGTCGAATAAGAGAAATACAGAAACCAATGCAATTGAAGTAGAGGTTGATCAAGTTGAAGTACCACCTGGTAAGTTTAATTTGAAGCTTGGTGAATAATACATCTGAAAAGAGAATTAGGAAAAAAAAATCAAGTATTTACAATTTTGATTTTGGTGGAGAGAGAAAAATAAAAGATAAGTTGGTTTTTATGCAATGAAAGAAGTAGAATCATTGAAAGATTATATAGGTGTACAATTGATTACATTGTAATGATGAGTTAGGTTCCTTCTTCTTTTTAGGGATACTTTTATTTGCAAAGAATATTATCCATTCACTTATTTTAGGAATTGTTTTCTTATCTCTTATGCTTGCCAAAATAACATTTTTCTTGAAATGATAAATTAATAGATAACGAACTGGAATAAATATAGTTTTTTTTTTTTTTAGGAAAATGGCGTGTAATAACGAAACATGTTGGGCATAAGCGACTAATTATATTGCGATTCAGTTTAAGAGAAGATATAGCAAAAGCAAGATTTTATTTTTTCTTTGAAATAAAAGATTGTTATAACAGCTGTTTCACACAGTTTCATGTTTTTATCGGATTTATTTATTTTCCATATTCTGGAATGCATAAAATTTCATTTAAACTTGAGAGAAGATAGAAAATTGAACGGCAGAAGTAATAAGCTTCTTTTTTCTTTTCTAAATTGGCTAAATAAGAATGTTGACGAGATGAAAAGAGGAGAAATGAAGTAAGGATAAGTCGGGAATAGTAATGAGTTGTTATGACTGATGACTCAACTTAAAGTTTTCTTCTCAGTTCTCACTTTTTTGCATTAATTTCGATTGTTTGATTTATTTCTTATGATTTTTATGAAAAGTTAACAATCAATTCTGTTTCTGTTTAAGGGTCGAAGGAATTCTGCGGATAGGCGGCGAAGAATTAGTTCAGATTCGGTGGATCCGGGTAAGAACTCATCTATGATCCATGTTATTTCATTTTATATTTACCTATCGTTTAGAGTTTCTGGAAATCCTTTTGTTTTTAGTTGAAAGCCAAGGAGAAAGCATGTATTTAATCTATTCATATTTTGGAATTGTTGTAGGCATTTTCAACCTTAAAAATGATTTTAGACGGTTACACCTATAAATGGATGAATCGAAGAAATCGAGTGCGACCCGGATTAAATATCTTTGATGAGAAGGGTAATGAGCTGGAATGGGATTATGAGCATGATACAAGGTATGGTTGAGAAAGATGGATTATTCTAAAAACGATACATTCCTGAAAATAGGATGGAAATAAACTGAAGCGATCCCGAGTAGTGAATATTCATTTCTTTCGCAGATTTTATGAAGAACCGGCAAAAACAGCGGAAGAAGAGGACAGTTCGTCGACACCGACGGATGATAAAATGATTGTTGTGGGTACAAGAAAACACAAAATTAAGACACGTGGACGTGGAGCAAAACGATTTAAATCTGTTGCTGATTCGTTGTCCGGTACCGGATCATTGGAAGCTGATCGTGAAGACCTTCAGTAAGAAAAGTTATATTTAGATAAAGAAAGAATAAGGAATAATTGGGTATAAAAATAAAGAAATGAAAACACAATTTCGATCTATATATTACTTCTTGAAATAGAAGTATTCGAATTCTCGATTAGGTGGTAGTGTAGCAGTAATAGATATTATGATAATAATAGTAAAAATAATAGTAAATAGTAAAAAAAAAATAGTTCTAAGTTTTTGACAAGTTTAATTGACTTTGAATATAAAGTCCATAATTCTTTAGTTCGGCGGATGCATTACACATCAACATATACTACGTATACATATATAATTAGTGTTCGTAATAGCAAAAGAAAAAATAAGTGTTTGTAGCTAATAGATTCTGATTCCTGCATTCAGTCAATAATTTCCTATGATTGCAGTCCATTGAAAAGAAATTTTGCGAATGCCAATGATGGAGCTGTTATTAGAGATGAAGAAGAAAGTGATCTGAGCGATGATCGGGACCCCAGTCCAACACCGCAGCCTTGGGATTTGAAGAAAACTAATGTTCATTTGCGCCAAAAATGAAGAGTATCAAAGAAGTGATAAGATGTTGTTTTACGCCAAAGCTACTGTAGAAATAGTTAATTGTAGTTGCAAAATTCTTGAATTTGGGGGTATCTAGTCTGCAAATACAAGTTTTGCTAAATTAGGAAGAAACTGATATGTGCTATAAAAAGAGAGAGAGAGAGAGAAACGAAGAGAAAGTAGATAAGCAAATGAAGGGAAAAGATATGGGGAAAATAGTTCTTACAGGTCGTTGTTGATAAGCGAATGTGAATGCATAGTCTATTGGTCCACTGTTTCCAATTTTTGATGATTGCAATTATGAAGATTATTTGAGCTTGCATTCATGTGTTTTATTTTTCTCGTACAATAAATTCTCAGAAAGTTCCAATTACTGTTATTTTGGTAAATTATGGGAATTATAGATTTAAATTTTAAAAAATTTCTGGGCTCTGATCATTTCGTTATCGAGATCATGGGAATAAGCATTGAACATTTGTTAAATTCTTAAAAACTAGTCATTTGCCAATTAATGGATATACTATTATAATATATGTTTGTATTATAATATATGGAAATTTGTTAATCTGAAATTGCAAAGTTAAAATATTGATTGATATTTCTGAAATCTAAATGCATTCCTATAAATATACTTCTATAATTTGTTAACATTATTCATTCATTTTGATAGAATCATTTTGGAATATTACGATGAGAAACATCGTAAATCAACAAAGATCGCAAAATTCTTCGAGGTTTTATTCCATAGAAACTTCGCTGCATTACATGTATGCACTACTGCTCTATATGATATGATATATCAATTTTCTATCTTATCAAAATTACATTAATGTAAAGAAATTTTGTTAGGAATTTTCTTTCCAACAAGGTCTAAAATCTTAATATTTTTTATGGATAAATAAATAGAGATAGATTTGATGACTGGTACATTTAATGATAACATTTTGCCATCTAGAGTTGTACTGAATGAGATTTAGTAAGGATAACGATATTTGTAATAGCATAATAAATAATAATAAAGTTCAAATTTAGGTACTTCCTTTTTTAAATTATAGCTAAATCAATAATTTTTTTTTTTTTCGATGGAATAGTATGCATAGTATGTGAAGTTTAGAGGATGAAAAAGGCAAATGATAAGAGATGTTGCAAAAAGTTGACAATAATGTACAATGAATTAATTTTTGCAGTACTGTTTGAGAAATGACTAATCTTTTCTTTTGAATTTTTTTGATTTAATCATAAAAGAAAATTGTAATTTTTATGACAAAAACTTTCCAAATTGATTTTTGACAGTGTCACAGTGTCGTCTAATTTCTGCAGCAAAGTGTCCCTTTTTTGAATGAAAAGTAGTAGCAGACCGAATATTTAGTGAAGTGGTTTTGGCGGGTACATTCAATTTGAAAGATGAAACGATCTGAAAAACTTTATACAATTATGTTTTATTTTACTGCTTTCTTCATATACTGTGTTGCTAATGTTCATATCTTATTAATGTATATTTATTAATCTTAAAAAAAAATTAGTTTATTGGAAAAAATTAAAAATTTTCCAACACACCAGTTAGATCACATTTCATTAATAGTGATAAGTATTATTGTATTTTGAGAAACATGAATTGTTTGAGTGTTTTCCTTTTTTTTTTGTTTTGGGGATTAATTTCTGAATATTTATTGTATCAGGAAGAAGTATTGACAACTCTTTTTATTTGAATGTAAAATATTTCAGTTAATCAGTGAAGAATAATCTTTAACGACAATGGTGCAACCTGATCAACGAACTTCTAATTCTTACGTAGTTAAACGAGGTATGTCATGCTAAATCTTTATTTTTTAACTTATTTGGTAAATTAAATATTAATAAAGAATTGTTAACTTTTGGCAAATATGAAGTGCTGTGGAAAGACTTGTACATCATGTTAAGCGAAGTGCGATAAATGAAAAGAAACTGTTTGAACGTTTAATTGTCGAATTGCAGTACTTTGTATGCCAAAATATATGCTACTTAAGTTTACTATTGATATTTCAAAATATCTCTGTTTGAATTCAAAAAACTGTATGTAACAACTAAATAAAGCAGTTATATCATATGTGTTTCAGATGGACGACATGAGGCTGTCTCTTTTGATAAAATTGCTCGCCGTATTATGAAATTGTGTTATGGCTTAAGCCAAGATCGAGTGGATCATGTAAAACATAATTTGTTGCATCTTATTATTTGTCGAAATTTTCAGTAACTTTCAAGTTAATTAATGTAATTTTTTAATCGAGAAATATTCTTTTTAAGTCAGAGCTTTTTTAATTTAAATAGTTTTATCTCTCACTTATGACTTTTTAGATTGAAATATCGCAAAAAGTCATTGCTGGTCTTTACAAAGGTGTAACAACTGTTGAATTGGATAATTTGGCTGCGGAAATTGCAGCTGACATGATAACTAAACATCCAGACTATGCAACTTTGGCGTCTAGAATTACTGTCTCTAATTTGCATAAGAAAACTGAAAAGGTTATTTTGAATGAAGCAATGAGTGCCGACGTGTATTGTGTAGATATTTGATTGCGGCACAAACATTCATCTTAATATATTGGATTTCTTTTGATTCTTCGGTTAATAATAATTGTTTCAAATAATTCATCCAACAAAGATCTTCTGTTTAAAAATCTGATCCAATTAAAGGCTCAAGATCTTTTGTGCAATTAGGTAAGTTTCTCATTTCAGTCATTTTCAAAACTCTCCAGAAGATTGTACAATGCTACACATCCAAAATCTGGTCGACATATGCCATTGATTAGCAAAGAATTATTCGATATTATCCAAAATAATGCAAATGTGAGTTGGCTATTTAATAGTTCCAGAAATGTAAATTAAGGAAGGTGTTGGAGTGATATAATTTTGCTACTTGATAAACAAAAATGTAGAAATCTTAGAAATTTTATAGTTTCGAAACTAAATAAAGATAAAGAAAGATGCTGTTATAAGTAAGCAGTTTTTATCTTATGAATTATTTCTAAATGGTAATCTATTTTTTTCAATAAATCTTCAATCATTCAAATTTTTGCTAACCTCTATTCGTCAGAACACTGTTTTTTAGCTTCTTGATTCAGCAATAGTTCATGAACGTGACTATTTATACACCTACTTTGGATTAAAGACGTTAGAACGTTCTTACCTTCTTCAAATCAACGGAGAATTAGCTGAACGTCCACAGCATATGTTAATGAGGGTTGCGCTTGGAATTCATGGTGAAGACATTGAAGCTGCTCTTGAGGTATGGCTGTTTATGTTTAATCTTAGCAGATTTTTAAGCATGTCAAATACCGAAATTTTCAGAAATTTGAGCTAAATGTTGATGTTCAGCTGTAGTTTTTTATAAATTATTACTAGCAATACCGAAGTTTTGTTTCAGACTTACAATTTGATGTCCGAAAGATGGTTTACACATGCAACACCAACACTTTTTAACAGCGGTACCTGTACACCACAAATGAGTTCATGCTTCCTGTTGACGATGTTTGAGGATAGTATTGAAGGTATATTCGAAACGTTAAAGAAGTGTGCATTGATTTCAAAAAGTGCAGGTGGTATCGGTTTAAATGTACACTGCATACGTGCCTCTGGCTCGGCAATTGCTGGAGTATGTCTTTAGTTATCAAAATATATCAAATTTACGTAAATGGCTGTTAAATCGTATAGATTTTAGAGATTTATTAATTTAGTACACCAAAAGTATCAAAACGAGCGAAAAAAAAATGTTAAGAGAAAAAAAGTAAAAAACATTTCTTCTGTTGTTTTACTACCAATTTGGTAGCAGCATATTTAGCAGGATTTAAAACTTTAAGAAAGTTGAATTGAAAAAATTTCTCTTTATTTAGACAAATGGTGTTTCAAATGGTCTGGTACCTATGCTTCGTGTCTTCAATAATGCAGCACGGTACGTCGATCAGGGTGGAAATAAGGTTGTTGCATTTTTTTCTTTTTTTTTTTCGAAGGTTTAGAATTTTTATCTTTTTTCAATCTCATCCTGAGTTAGTGCTTTTTTTAACTACTTTTTTAAGTGGTTTAAGTGGATACCACTTGTGCAACTGTTTGTTGATTTGATGTTTTTTGAACTGTTTTTTTTTTTTTCTTGAAACAAATGTTTGTTGCAGAGACCAGGTGCATTTGCTGTCTATTTGGAACCGTGGCATGCAGATATTTTCGACTTTCTAGAACTCAGAAAGAATGTAGGTGATGAACTTGAACGTTGTCGTGATTTGTTCTTCGGTTTATGGGTGCCGGATCTTTTCATGGAGCGTGTACGTGACGACAAAATATGGTCACTAATGTGTCCTGCTGAATGTCCTGGCTTGGAAGATTCGTGGGGCGAGGCATTCGAGAAACTGTACACACAGTAAGAAGAATTTTATCTGTTTACTTCTACATTTTGTAAATAGAAAATCATTTTAGATCCTGGATTTAAAAAAAGAAAGATTGTAGGTATGAAGAAGAAGGTCGGTACAGAAAGCAAGTTCCTGCCAGAAAACTATGGGAAACAATCGTTTTTACGCAAATAGAAACTGGCATGCCATATATGGTTTATAAGGTAATGCTATGTCAGTCTAAAGGACTACGTAGGTGGTCCTTGAAGTTGTATGAGATATTCATTACATGCTATTATTCTGTTAATAAGACCTCTAATTGTTTTTATAATCTGCTGATTCAATTTTTAGCTATTTTTCGTTTGAGCAATTCAAATTATTCAAAAAAAAAAAAATGTGCTTCAATTATAATTAAACATTTCCATGAATAAGAACCTTTTTGAAACATCACCGTAGTAAGGGATCATAAAGTTTCTTTTTGAATGAAGTTTGAAATTACAGGATACGTGCAATCGAAAAACTAACCAACAAAACTTGGGTACCATCAAATGCTCTAATTTGTGTACGGAAGTAGTTCTATATTCGTCTCGTGAAGAGATTGCTGTGTGTAATTTGGCATCTATTGCTCTTGGGCGTTTTGTTACATCAGAGATGAAATATGACTTCAAAATGTTGCATGAGGTATATATATATATAGAAAACGAAGAGAGAATACATGGAACAGGATCAGTTTTGCTTGAATTCTGAATTTGTTGTAACATCGAAAATATAATTGTATTTCAGGTTACAAAAGTGGTAGTTAAGAATTTGAATAAGGTCATTGATCGCAATTATTATCCAATACCAGAAGCAGAACGATCTAATAAGAGACATCGTCCGATTGGCATTGGTGTTCAAGGCTTAGCTGATGCTTTCATCCTTATGCGGTTTGCTTTCATTTTTAGCTTTTACAGGTTCTAAAAGTGCACGGCAATTTTTTGAAACGATATATATGTTGAAATTGTGGCTTTTTCAGATATCCATTTACTAGTGAGAAAGCTCGCGATCTTAATAAGCGAATTTTTGAAACGATATATTATGCAGCACTTGAAGCCTCTTGTGATCTTGCGAAGGAACAAGGTCCATATGAAAGCTATGAAGGTTCACCTATCAGTAAAGGAGTTAGCACTTGTTGATCTTCATGTTTTCCATTGTTTCAAAGTATCTTTCAGTAGTATTCAATATTTGATCCCAGAAAATTTTCAATTTTTTTCCATTTTCATTAGCGCTAGTCATCAAATTTTATAATATATGATCTACCATAAAATTTAGTACCATTTTTCTTCTTTATGCTTCAGATTTTGCAATTTGATATGTGGGGTGTAACGCCAACAGATCAGTGTGATTGGGGGACTTTACGTGAGAAGATTGCAAAGTTCGGCATCAGAAATAGTGTGTTATTGTCACCAATGCCTACTGCTTCAACCGCGCAGATACTTGGCAATAATGAAAGCATTGAGCCTTATACGAGCAATGTATACACCCGTAATGTCTTATCTGGAAGTTTTCAGGTAAATTTTCAAGATGTATTGTTCATGTGTTTTTATACATTTTAGAAATGTTTTATCATTAATTTTGACAATATTTCGTTACCTAAATACTTATGAATTTGTTTTAAAGATATTCAATATGCACCTTATGAATGATCTCATGCATCTTGACTTATGGGATGATGATATGAAATTAGAAATAATTAAAAACAAGGGGTCGATTCAAAATATTGAACGCATTCCGCAAGAAATCCGAGATCTTTACAGGACAGTTTGGGAAATGTCGCAACGAGTAAGTATTGATAATCAAAAGTTATGAGGTTTAATGGATTCTTAAACCTTTAGAAGTATAGGATGCAGTTATCTTATATACAAATAAAAAAGGATTTACATTGAAGGACATTATTGATATGGCTGCTGACCGTGGTGCGTTTATCGACCAATCGCAGTCGTTAAATATATTCATTGCACGCCCCAATTATGGCAATATTACCAGCATGCACTTCTACGGATGGCAAAAAGTATGCACTGCATTTTTGATGTATAAGGTTTTTGTATTTTGGTAGAATTTAGAATTGTTTTTTATCATTATTTTTATTTCTTCAAAACTTTTAGGGCTTGAAAACTGGAATGTATTACTTGCGCACGAGACCAGCAGTTGATGCAGTACAGTTCACTGTTGACAAAACTCGTTTGAAAGAATATGATAGCGTTAATGGAGATAAGAATTCTAAATCATCATCCAGTTCTATTCCTGCTACTACCAGTGAATTGGCAACAAAAGTTATGGAGTGTACGGTGAGCAATGGAGATGAATGTTTAATGTGCAGTAGCTAATCTATGATTACTTTGAATTGTGTCGGGCATTTACCCTGAATATGTCATTCTTTTGCAGAAAAAAAGAAGAAATTTCCTCATATTTATTTAATGCAAGTAAAAAGTATGCTACTAAGTGATTGTAAATATTTTTGAAAATTTCCGAATTTTCATGATGTAATAAGAAAATAGAAAAGTAGCAGAAAATTTTATGCAATATCTTTAATCTTTATAGAAAGTGATTCAAAAAAAATATGCAACGGAAAATTGCGCTAAAAAAAAAAGTTTTTATGAAATGTACGGATTCATTATTTGCACATTATATTTCTCTATGTTTTAAGTTATTGTAAATTGGAATTTTTCTTCTTTTAATACTGTTTTTATATTTTATGCTTGAGATTTCCTTTACAACTGTTTTTATATTTTATACTTGAGATTTTCTATTTTATGAATATAACAGTTCGTCTTTATATACTTTTTTAATATTTTGGATGCCGAATTATATTTAAAACGAAAAAATATTTAAAAAAATATACTAATTTTTAATCTGAACATAAAATGACTTCACACTTGAATCTTATTTTTATCACTTTAAAGTGTTGGCATATTTTCATAAAGATGCTGGTACATATATTTTCTGTCAAATTCCTTCGAAAAAGTATACAAGTACAAAACTTATTGGTGGTTTGAACTTGTTTTATAGCGGGCCAAAGAAAAAATCGTATTTCCTAAATAGAACGTATAATAGGTCATTATGGTGCACATTCATCGCTGTGTAGAAGTAGAGTGTAACTCATGGTGTTTTCTGGTTGTTGACAATATCTCCTAGAAAATTTCTGTATTAATTCAGGAAAGTGATGAACTTAGAAAGTTTAGTTCCTAGGATTCTGTTGAAAGTTCGAAGGTGAATTGTAGTTTAGTTCCTAGGATTCTGTTGTAAGTTTGAAGGTGAATTGTAGTTTAGTTCCTAGGATTCTGTTGTAAGTTTGAAGGTGAATTGTACACAGTGATTCGGCCAAAATATGCGGTGATTTACGGTTGGTATATTTGTTGTGAATTTTGCAAGTTCGGAATTCGGCGGTATTTAATAAGAAGAAATTCATGGGCGGAATGGTATGCAGATGATGGAGCGATCACTGCTGGCAAGAAGAAGATTCAGCAGAAGAAGATTAATGTGAACTATGGGTATTCCAGTTATTCAGGTTTTTATGTTTGTTATTGCATGTGAATAGCAAAGGATGAACCGGAATTTCTGCTAAGAATAATTTTTTATTGGAGTTGAAAAGCTGATACGATGAGGACTGTTTCTAGTAAGTTTGATATTTTTAATACCAAGTAATATGTTTTTCAGCTTGTGGTCGCATTTGGGCGGCAAATGTCACGCCCAATAGCGCGCAAAATAATAGCTTATGCTATAAAGCATCCATATCTTAGAAACAGAATTCTTGTTCCGGTGGGCAGAAGTAAGTTCTCGGAGGTTTTGATATGTAACAAATAAGGAGTTCAAACTTAAGTTGGTAAACTGGAATGTGTTTTGACTTGCCCGATTTTAGAGATTCTGTCCAACCTGTTGTCCTTCATTCCCTACTTTTAAGACCCCTTTTGTAAAGCTGTTGATTCAAAATATTAAATTTTAAATAGCAAATGGAGTTTTGCACTTGCAGGTCTACATGCTATTTCATTTCGTTTGCGAATCAAAAGTATAGGCCTTGCTGTTCCATCTAAGACACCTACTGTGACCGAACAACAAGCAATCGAAATGGTTCTGTTTTAGTGAACTGTAATCTCATCCATCTGTAATTATAGTTATATGTAATTCGCACTTTACGTTTCATTTTCAGGCTAGTGAAACGCTTGTAGAAGCACTCATTTATCTGTTGACTGTTGTATTGATATATGCAATTTACCGGTCGAATCCAGAAAAAGCTAAAGCTAGCGATGTAGAAAAATATGTTAAAGTATGTCCTTAGTATATCATTAATAGTTAAACTTGTTGAAATTGGCTGGTTAATACAGGGTTGCCGCTTTTGCAGGAAAATGAAGATAGGATAGCGAAGTTTGAAGAAAAGCTCAAAGAACAAGATGAATTAGCGCTAAAAATTGTGAAGATCATCCGCGAGAAGAAACTGGTTAGTACTTTTTTCTAAAATTAGATTGTGTTCCATAAGGGTACAATTTTTCCGTACGGTAGTTTCCGATGAACAGAATTGCTAGGGAAGTCAGGAATTATCTTTATTTTATTAGATAATCTACAGCCTAAATTTTTAATAAAATTCTGTTTCGTTATGAAAAACAACGTAAATTTTCTTCAACCATTTTGCAGGATGATAAGAACATTTTGGCAGAAAAAGGTCAGAAGGGTCAACTCCTGTCTTTCATTGGTGACAAAATGAAGACACTGATACCTGGACAAGACAAAACATCTCGTTAGCATTGGTTAAACTAGTATCACAATTGATATGTTTAGGTGTTGGAGGTCGAATGCTTTCAATTGTTTTTCTGAAAGCTCAATTCTCCTGAAGTTTTTTTGAATTCGCCATATTTAGTTCAAGGCAAACATTGATACCTTCTTCTTTCGCACTTTATTTCCTAGGTTCTACCTATATGTAAATTTGATTTGAAGTACTGATAAAAATTTTTTAAAAAAGGAAGACAAACTTGTGTATCTCATCCCAATGATGTCAGCTAATATTTGATGCAAAATAACATGGATTTAAGCGCTTCTAATAATTATGCTGTATTTGGCTTCCTACAATTTTGAAAGAATTTGCGTTTGAATCAATAGTGAGTAGTTGACAAAAAAAAAAAAAAGACATTAAAAATAAAACTTAACGATGGAGAGAAGTTCCAGATGTTTAGAAATTTTCATTTTACGACATGAAAAGTGGTAACAATAGTTATAACAGAAAACGGTTAAAGCACTAGTGAATCACTGTAATTCTTTCAATCGTTTCTGGAATAGAGATTGCAATGTTCGACACTTTTCCTCCATTACTTTGCAGGCTTCCACTACCAGTTCTGCACTTCTTAGTGCACCAGTGCTTTCTACACTAACTGAAGAAATAATTCACTCACTTGCGTTTACCACGAAAGTTTAGAACTTACGCTATGTTGAATATTGTTATTGTATTCATCTGTTACGAGTACTGGCTCGAAGACAATGAAATGTAAAGAGACATTACAGAAAGAAGTTATCAGGGGAACTCCAGAACATAAAATAAATGGACACATTAAAAATATTGAATTCTACAGACTGAACTATTAGGGATCTGTCATAATAAGTATGAATGTTACATGAGAAAAGCACATAATGTGCCGAAAGCAACTGAAACATACAGATGAAATGATCTTTTATCCTTGACAATTCAATGTATTCTGCCAAATCCTCATATCGTAAAATATTGCGACTGCAGGTGTCAGATCGTGCATCTTTCACAAAAGCTACTCCATCTAAAAATAAAAAATTAGGACTAGTAAAACCTCGAAGTTTTATGTATGTTTTTATTGAATTCAGTATATCTTTAAGCTAATTTACTGGTTTAGAGGGAAATAAGCTACTTTAAAAAAGACATAATTACACTGGTACAACAGTTGCACAGTACAAAAGTCAAACAATTTAATTGAAGCCACCAGCGTTACAGATTATAAATTATATTTAAATAAATGATAAGCTAGGGCGCTTTTTTTTAAGCATAAAATAGGAAGGTTACTAAAGTAAGCAAAAAAGATTCAGAGTTTCGAAAGAAAGATGAGCTAACCTGCATCAATTTCAATAACACCTTCCGAAAAAGAGCTCTTAACTCTTCGGGCATCTGCACCGCTGAATTTTTTTTTCAGTACTATCTGCGGCAGCAAACGATAGGATGCAGTAGCAACCGGTGAGAATTTTGCATGATCACGCCCTAATCCTTTTAAGCAGTGACATCTAGAATTAGAATGAAATTTGAATCTGAAGTGAACAAGGTTGCCAAAAAGCCATCTCTTATCAAATGGCCAAATTTGAGTAAACAAACAATTTAAGTGAATTTAACTCGCCTAGCTTCAATCTCTTGTCCAGGTCGTAATTGCGCAACCAAAATATCATCATGCACCATTGATGGTGGATACGGAAGTGAGGTAGACTGATCACCGATTGGTATCCACTTGAATGAATTTGAATAAACAAAAGCATTCTCATAAATTTCCTTAGGATTTGTAGCTGTTTTCAAAGCGTTTGGATTTCGACTGCAGTTGACTTTAATCTCAAAAATGAGATTTCTGAAATGATTTACTTCCAACAACAACAAAAATAATTTCGATACATTATGCAATCAAACATGAAATTTCCAAGTAATGCACGATTTTCTATAATATCTTTCGCATTATCTTTTGTTATACGGAATTCACTTTTTAATACAAAAGGAAATCTATTAGGATATTGTGTAATTCCGTTAAATGCTAATAATATTTGTAATAACTGTATTTAAATGATATGAAGTGCGAAGCAACGATTCATCGCTTACTAATCCTAGAACTATAAATTGTTCAAAAATTCACACTGAAAACTTGCAAAAATTATTTTTATTAACCTCGTCGGATCACCAGCCGGTTCTTCACTACAGTCAACACCGGATTCGTCGATTCCAATAACCCGTGTAAGAGGCATCTTGAATAATCGTGGATCTGCTTTAATTGGAAGCAAACCAAAACGATGACTCAATACTTCATCCTAAATTTATCCGAAAATATTTTCCTTTTCAAAAAATCAAGAAATAACTTGTATAAAAAAAAGATCGTACCGGTATAATTGACGTATTCTGGTACAGATAAACCTTCTCGATTGCCAAGGTAGGAAGCTAAAGACAACAAAAAATTATAGCAATGATCACTCGAAATTTCTAATTAACTATTAAACATACTGGTGATATTGTAATATGTTATGAAAGACAAATATGGATCAAAAAATTAGTATGAAAATGAAATGAAGTCAAAATTTTCAAAGTTGAAATGAAATCCAAACTGCATGAATTAATCGCAAATGAAGTAAGGAAACTTACTTCAGCAATAAGTATCCTTCTAATAGCATTAGCAATTGGAGCTTCAACACCAACTAAATCAAATTCCAATGTCATACCATCTTTACTTTCATTTACTATGAATATTTTGATTTCTGATATATACGCAGTTACATCCCACTGAATCGTACTGTTGCCAAAATCACTATCAGTATCGTACGTCTGTAAACAACCATTCTTTTTTTTCGAACGTACCATAACCAGATTTAAAACAGCAAGACGTTAGCTATCGTATACATTCTTGTTTAAAAACCAATTTTTTAAAGCCATAAAGTTCAAACATACTGAACCATAAAGTTTGCTTATTCCTCATATTAATTTGATTTTTCATCAATTAACTATTGCTCCTTCAGCTAATTCTACAATTTCTCTATAAGAAAAAGATTAAATAATAAAAAAAATGCTTCTCAAAAAATACTGAACGCTCAAAATTTGTCTCTTCTTCTCGTCAAAAATGTGTTAAATGATATAATTCCTTTGATTAATATCATAAATTGCAATTCACATGTCCAGGAATAACTACTTGCAAACTCTAATAGAATTGTACAAAAAAACAAAAAACTTAGAACGGACTTTACAAGCTTACATTTAACACTCTCTCTGCATCCATAACGAGTTTGTTCTCGGCATTTTGTTCACTTTTCCGACGAGATCTCCTTGGACTTCCAGACATTGTTCTGCAAAAGATAATAATTGCAATATATTTTGCAGTATTCCATCAACTTTTTTGAAAGCTCTGCCTTTGTTTGACTTAATCAAATTTAAAATTAATATCCTTTGAACAGTGGTTAAACTGGTAAGCTGTTTAAGGAATGAACAAATAACCAGCAATACTTCATTAACGAATGAACAAACGGCTGAAGACCAGTCCATGAACCGATCATTTATAAAAGTAGTGCCGAAAATTTTATGATACTTCTGAAAAAAATACTTTAAACAACAAGCAAAAGAATCAAAAACAGAAAATAACATAACAAGAAAACAATAACAGTAAAAAGAAAAAGGCCAAAAAGTTGAAATTATCACAGCTTATTTCATATTTGTTGATACCATATCCCAATAAAGATATAAACAAATGTCAATAAAAATTAGAGATAAGATAAAAAAACACCCATAAAATGAATGTGTTATGCTCAATACAGATCGAAGTATCATATTCATATGAAAGTTGCCAGCTAATACCATTAAAAATGATTAAATAATATAAATGATCAAATATATATTACAGCTTGAGTATATATTATATCGAAACATGAAAATGATAATTGATATATTTAATCACTTGTATTATTCAATCATCAATATGTTATGACACACTATCAGAAAATTAAAGCCAGTGCAAACGTTATCAAATATCAGTTGGCTACCGGAAGAAAAAATGTGCGATAACATGAGGAATCCTCCACTGAATATAATCACATAATTAAATACATATTGCAACTAGCATGTGCTTAAAATAATGTGCTGTAATACAAGAATATATTTAAATCTGACCTAAAGTGATAAATTCTAATGTAAACTACACTTCCAAATGCCAGTTTTATATCGAAACCATATCAGTATCAGATCACGACCCATTTGAAGCCATGAAATTATTGGTACTATTTTTGAGCCATCAACTTCATGCCACGTTACAGGTACTTCACGAATTGGAATGCTAAATTGCTCGGCAAGAAATAACAATTCAACATCAAACGCCCATCGTTCGATATGCAGCAGTGGGAATAACTGTAATACACGCACATATTTAATGAAATATTTAAATCCAACTTTTGGAAATTATACTACTATATACATAATCTTTCAATATGCAATAATCTCTTTCACTCTCTCTCTCTCATTCACTTATTGCTATCATAAACTAACAAAAACAGTTTAAGTGGGTACTGTTGCACAGGTAATCAAGTGGTCATAATAAGTTCTATTCACTGCCTTCGGAAACATACTCTATCATTTCGTCTATTCTATATTTTAAAAGAAAAATTGTGGTTTGGAAAATATCCTCTTTTTTTACAATTCTATTCGAGTTTTTGCAATTTTTTGGTAGAATACTTTCTGGTGAAAATCGAAAATCACACATCTGGTATACATAAAAAATGCAATAAATTCATTGGTTTAAATAGATTAATTTATTTATAAATCCGTTGTCAATGCCTATGTACTCTTGTACGCTAATTAAGGACATCAGTAAATTCACCTTTGAAACTGCTCCACGTGTAAATAATTTGAATCCACACTGAGTATCACGTACTGTTCTTACCGTGAAAATGTACACAATCCAATGAAAAGCTATCATCAGAAAGGTTCGTGCTAGAGAACGTGTTGCTATACTTTTTTTCTCCATGTGTGATCTAGAAGAAAAACAGAATATACATTCGTTTTCTTTTATTTTATATGAAATTGTAAACATGCCTATTTATCTGTTTGATCTTTCTCTGCAAATGTCAACAAAAAATAGTTTGATGCTTTAGAATATTCTATGCAATAGCATGTTCGTACTGAGATTGGCGATGGAATTGATGCTTCAAATGATAATCAGACTGTTATCATCCATATTCAAATATGGAAAGAAGTACAATATACATGAACTGGATGAACACATAAGGAATTTTAAAAAGAGAAGTGACAAATGGGCAAAATTACTGCAAAGAAATTCATCCTTTTAAATGTTAGAATCTAGCAAAGTTTGAATTAATATTCTGATGATAAATATTTAGGTAATTATCTAACGAACTAAAAAAAAAGTTTAACATGATAAAACAAAGCCTCGTCTTTTTTTTTTTTTTTTAAAGTAAACAACATTCTGTATCCAATAATTCTTTATTGAAGCAAATTCCCTATCGAACTAAATTAAACGAGCCTTGAACCAATAGCTATAGCAGGGGTAATCCAATTAACATCGCTTCTTATTTCCGGTACACAACCATCTAGAGTTGTTAAACCAAGCAATTCTTCTTCTAAATGTTGCAAATCAGCAAATTTTGTAGCACCATCTGCATCGGCAAATAAAATTAACGAACCACGTGCACATAATACACCTCTACGTACCGCTCCACCTATAACATTATTATTAACAGTAAAATTTCCAAAAAACAAAGAGAATTAAATACCTTTTCCCAAGTTCTTTTCTAGCTTCAAAACTCTGATTTTCCCCTCATACTTCTCCGTATATTTGTAAGCCGTATCAGCAGTTCTATCTGTACTACCATCGTCTACCACAATAATCTGCAACAGTGTCATCAAACATCTAACGAAATAAAAAATCAATGTCATTGCTGTTTTTGATGAAATCATTTTCCCAACTAAAATTAATTAAATTCTAAGTTTAATCAATATCTCTTAGTTTTTAAACGATTTTTACGTCGCAAAAGAAAGAACGAAACCGTCGCATTGTTATACTTTTCATAGTGAGATTATTGAAATCAGGAAAAAAAAGAAATTTTCGTTCAGTAACATTTATTCTTAACCACTAGTTTCTTAAATCATTTACCTCGTATGTAAATAAATCATCTTTAGTTTGTCGACCTTCTAGATATGGTAGACATTCATCCAGCATAATTGGAAGCCTTTCCTGGAAATAATTCAGTTAATTTATGTTACACTTTAAGTCCAACGAGCTACATGCATATCTACATATACATGCATATCTTGATTACAGTCTAACTTAGTTAATGTTCTATAATCATTTTAAAGTCAAATATAAACTTTAAAACACATGAGGAAATAATAATCACTCCTTAAAAGAATAAAAAAAACTTGATCATAAATGTTATAAAACGAAATCTTAAAGAATTCATTAATTATAAAAAAACAAGCCTGATAACAGAAATTACCTGTTCATTCATAGCAGGGACAATAACGGAAAGATATAAATCTGGTGTGGTGCAATGGAGTTCCTCTCCGGATGAATCATCATAACTTAACAATGACCTGAACTTTTCGTTCCAAGGATTAACGGGAGCATAAACAAACATTGGTTGTAACAAATCTTTTCGTGTTCGAATAGGCCAAGGAGTAATCCATGATAAAAGATAAAGGCAAGTGAGAGCGACAGGAATACATGACATCAACAATCCCAGTAGTATCGTTATTAAATCCACAGACATACTCTGCAATATTATCAATTTATCTTCAATTAATTATTATTCAACAAAATTTATAATCGAAAATTATTACTATCAATAAATTAATCAAGCAAAAGAACTCGAACAAAACTACAAAAAAAGTAAGTCTTTCAGTATTGATTACAAATAACAGATATTCTCTCCAAATGCTATTTTCTCTTAAGAATTAAAAATAAAATTAAAAAAAAAAAAAAACACTACAATGTTCGTAACATAACAGAACATCAAAAATAAATTGTACTTAAAATTTAAGTATGACTTAAAAATAAATTACAGTAAATTAAAATTGTTAGCTGATGTAAGCATCGAATTATGAAAATTTAATATTGACAATGTAACCAGAAACAGTTACATTTCTTTTTTTGTGCAAAATAAATACATATTTTTGTTACAAAAAAATAAGATTGCTTAAAAATACATTTTGACACATCTCTCTGAGAAAAAAAATTATTTCATAATTCGTACCTGTCTTGATAATCTCTCAGAGAGAGAGAGAGAGAGAGAAAAAAAAAAAGAAAAAACTGGTATCCAACCTTATCCGAGGAAATGCAGGTGACGTTATTAGAAGTGCACCAACATTAAACTTACATTGCGACTTGAATACAAGCCTTTTCACGTAGAACGTGTGTGAAACGTTGTGTTTAGTGAGATAGAAGAGTATATCATCTGACGTTAAGATTTATGGGGTAAAGTAGAGTTATAGATGCATGTGTGTCTTGGTGGTACACGTACGAGCCTAAAATCATCACTACACGTGGCTTACGTAGGTCACGAAAATTAATTCATGAAATTAGTTGAAATGGAGCTTTCTTTTCTTTTCTTGTTAACAATAGGATAAGTAAAGATTTCACGTAGAAAGATTATTATTATTGTAATTAAACACTTTGCATTGTCTTTAGTTGTTTTTAATTGAAGTTTTTAAATTTTTAAATTACATTTGACAGTTAAGATTTAATGAAATCGGAATAGACACGAATAATTTTGTAATGCCATTGATCACGTGGAACATAATGTGGTCTTGTCCAAAGGGTATTTACGTTACGTGCCGGACAATACGCACCTATCACGTACCATTGTACAAGGAGTCGATTAGGTATTTCTTCATTTGCTATATCATTTGTTATTGTCACTTCAGCCTAAAATGAACGAAAAAAAAATTTTCTTCTTATATTTATTAAATAAACTTACTTTAAATATTTTTTTTTTCTTATTTGTTTACTTTCTACTATCATCTCAATTGTTTACTTTGTTAGTTGTGATAATTTATCTGCTAAAAATTATTCACAAATAGATAATAAACTGAAATCATAAATAAAAACTACAGTGAATAGTTTTCACTAGCTAAATTTTTTCTCATTTATTTTTGGCATTTATTTTTAATGTTTAAGAATAAATAAACGAATTCTTTCCTTTTTCTCCTTGTCCTCTATCAAGAAAAATTTATTTTGAAGGTAAATTATTCTTTTGATGAGCTAGAAGAATGAAATTATATTTCATATTTTATGAAACTAAATGAAATATAATTTCTTTTTATATTTTCAATATTTATTATCTGTTTTCCATTACCTATTTATTTGCTTACGCATTAATACTTGCATAAGTGAAATCTGAATTCATTTTAGCTTCAAATTTTATAAAAATGCTCACAGCACTGGTACGTTCCGGTGGTAACAGAAATTTGTTTGGATGAATGGTTAATTCATTATTGTTGGTGAGAATTCGAATAGCAATCCATTGATTGAAGTAAGTATTTTTCAGACTTAGGATTCCACTGCAACCATTGCTGATAACAAATGGCTGAAACTACCTTCTTTTTTATATAATAATTTGATAAGTAGTAGTAAATGAGATAGCAGTAAGTAATTACGTACAATACTTAGTAAATAATAAGTGAGTTTTGAAGACAAATTGTGCCTCTAATGGGGTCGAAAAAAAAAAGTGAAATCATACATATCAATAAAATAAATAAAACAATAAGTATTAAATAAAAATTATGTCATTAGAATTTTCCGGAAAGATTAATAAATTTAGTTTTCTGACAACTGAACGGCTTACCGGAAGACCGTTATTAATGTATCCTCAGATTCATGGAGATACTTTTCATTTATTTGTTTATGTTTGTCAAATAAAGATAATCGTTTTTCGAGTTTGCCAACCTGTGGTGAATATTCGATAGTGCCATAATTCGAGTGAAGTGGTATAGAATGTGCGGTACTCAATGATACAGTGCTTACTTGCCCAGGTGATTCTGCCTTATCTTCGTCTATCAAATTGTTTTCCTTCTTTTTACTGCTTGCTTCGATCAATCGGATGATAATTACAAGAAAGGCAGTTATCATATACAAGGAACCAATCAAGTATGCAAATATCACTGCCACCTATTTTGTTTTATTTGTTTGTTTTCTCTGTCTTTGATATTGTTAAACTCAAAGGGTCATTTGGAATTGGAGGTTATATAATAAGTTAGTGGTGATAGTGGTAATTAAAAGCCACTGCTATTTGATAAAATAAAGGTGATAATATTGCTAGGAATGAAATTGCCATTGAAAATGTTGGTATTGAAAGTTTATTTAGCGGTGTTTTTATACTGGATTAAAGTTGGAATTTTATATTCCAAAAAAAAAAATTGAGTGAAAGTAAAAATTTGGTCACAATATAACTTTGGGCTGATTTTGTTTATAAAATGAAGTAAAATATCAACATTTTTGATAGAAAAATTTATAGATTCTGATCTTCACAGTAATTCATCTAAAATTCACACTGAATATTTAATTTGAAAGGAGTGAATACTTTTCAGATTCTGAAACTTTTTTAGCAGATAACTTGCATATATCAAATCCTAAAAATTATATCTTAAAAAGTGGGAAAGATTAGAATTAGAGTTAAATTTTTTTACCATCCAATGTTTCATTTTAATAGTACATTCCAGATGATATAATTTCTCAAATGAATTAACTGTTTTGCTCATGAAATATGCTGATAGATAGTAAACAGTGGCGAATGTAGAATCATAGTATATTATAAATATTTTTATTACACGTATATGAGAAGATTCTTTACTAATCTAAAGAAAATTCCAATTAAAATAGAAATTGAAATCGGAAACTAATCAATTTTCAATTTAATACTTTTAACTTTTTTGGCAGTTGATAACTTACTTATTAAGCTTTATAATAACAGACTTTCTTTGTATCATATTTTTCTTACTATAGCAAAATATTTAGATAAAGATTAGTTATCATTAAAAAAAAAAAGTAAGTATCATAAATGACTTAACTGTAACGATCATGCATAGTGCAAGAATTGTAATGTGCAATAATGGTAGTAAACCGAATGGAATAAAAATTAGAGATAATGGTGATGAATTATTAAATATCTGTAGTAAAAATATTGTTTCAACTATATGTCGTCCTACAATGCCACGATTGTTACAGGTTATTGTTGCAGGAATCCATGATGCAAGAAGTAAACATGCCAAAACGATTATCTGAATACGAATCTATGATAGAATTTCTATATTATTGGAGAACAAAAAAAAATTTTATGCAATATCTCGGAGAAATAGGTATAATAATACATTTTTTTTTTTTTTTTTCATTTTTCAAGTCTAACCTTCTTTTCTGTTTGCTTTTTTTTAAAGCTATTTTTTAATTTTAAATATCAAATTTGTATTTTCATAAGGCTTCGACTCTTTTTTGTTGCTAATGAAAGTTAAATTTAAATGATTATTAAATTGAAATGAATTGCATTTGTATAATTTTTATAAAACTATTCATTAATTTATCGTTCTTACCTTTAGAGTATTAAAGGCAAGAGAACATTTTTGAGTGCTAGTTAAAGTATTGCATGAAAGTAATAGTGAAAAACTGCTTAGTGTAATTTTCTTGCATTTCCAATTGATGTGACATAAAAGAACATTCCATGATATAATGATAAATGCTAGTCCGATCAGTAAATACAGCATTTGATCAGTGTTCAATTCTCGTTGCACTGTATCAACAATCCATTGCTCATTACATTTTGATTCAGCACAGTGACACAGTTTTGTACTTCCTGCAAATTAAATTATTATTCTTACTTTGTATAGTTTTTAATTGATTGAAGCATTAAAACATAGGTTTAATTGAATTTCAAAAATTATTCATGATAAATTTGAAAATAGAATTAAAAGTTTCAAAAATAATGTTTTTATTAAGCAAATATTTCAATTATTATTATATTCTAACTTGCTATTAAATTAATTGATAGAGAATCATTTTACATTTAATTTAACTTCAACAATTACAGTTAAAGTTTTAGCATGAAACAAGCCTGATGAAATGCATATTTGCTGATAATTATCAGTTGGTAATGTATAGGCAAATGTGATCAGTTGTTGATTTTTTGGTTCATCACATCCAAATTCTTCAAATTTTCCATAAGTTGTTGCAAATAAAAGATGATAGCAATAACTAATTGCTTTGCATAGAATTTCTTTACCGGAACTCAAGCAAATTACACGATGATTTATTAAATTCCTGTTACAAAAAAGAATGATTACAAAAAGAAAAAAAAAAAAAACAAAAACAAAATAAAATTTTTTTTGTTGTCTAAAAATTGCATAAAAACTTTTTGACATTAATTTATGGAATGGAAAATTTTTTTTTTTTTTTTGGAATTCCAAATAATCAAGCATGATTTTCTCGCCGAAGTACTTTTTTAATACATATGTTTTATACAAAACTTTTTTGCCTTTCTTTTTTTTGTTGTTGCAAGAAAAATTATTTACATTAAAAGACAAAGCAATAAAGTTGAAATGAAAAATAATGTAACTTTTACAAAAAGTAACAATAATGTTGAAAAAAGAAAAAAAAGCAAATCCAAATGTTTATGTTCATTAATTAATTTTCAATTTCTACAAAATTATTTATTGTGTAATTTTTAATGATTTATATTGTTATTGCTTAATTTGTTTCGTTCTTGAAATTTTTGGAATTTTTTATACGAAAAAAAAATTTTTTTTTTTTTTTGTAATATTGTCAAAAGTTTTATACAATCCATCTTGAAATTCAAGTTTTAAACTTTCTTTCCTTTTCTTTTTTTATTATCAGAAATAAATTTAAAAGTTTTTCTTCTTTTCAGTTTTTCAATAATTTGCAACATTTTCACTGAATGGTAGATGTCGTCGATAATGTTAGTCGTTCATTCATTATCCTATGCTTTTGCAATATTTCAATTGCACAAATATCCGGAAGACACACTCTTGAAAACACCAAATTTGTATGAATGATTACTTTTCATGATTTTCATACTTTCAAATTTGTATTTTAAAAAATGCAAATTCATAAAGTTATTTGATTTTTCAAATTTCATATTTTAAATAACAAAAAAAAAAAAAAAAAAAAAAAAAGCATACGGTCTTACTTTAAATCTTTAAAATTTTTGTAATTTCTAAATACGGTTCAGATTTTTCATAATCTTATAATTTAAATATTTTTTTTTTTTTTTTTTTAATTGGTTCATTGATTTTATCATGCAGTTGTGATATATACAGTATCGTATGTTTTGAAACTTTTGAAAAGAAAAATAATAGTATTGTTTGCATGTCATTATAATAACATATTCAGGTAAATTTGTCAAAGAAGATAAATATGACAAATTTATTTACAAATAATGATGACAATCAACAAAAATAAGCATTTGAAATCAATAAGAAGAGAAAAAAGAAATGCTATGCACATAAAAATCACAATTTAAACTGATCTTGAAATATTTTTTTTTCAAAGAATATTTTCTTTCTTTTTGCAATTTTTATCACATTCAATAGTTGTAATGATGAATTTAACATAAAAATTTTGTAATTATATGTTTTTAGAATTGATTTGAATTAAAAAATAATTTTGTGAAAACAGAAATGATCAAGGATGTTCTTAATTTTAAAAATAAAAGAGTAAGACAAAATAACAATACTTAAGAATTAAAATTAAATTTTGATGATATCATTTAGCAGTAAATAATTTAATCAATACATTAAAATATTGTATGACTTTTGATTATTATCAAATTTGGTCATTTTAATTATAACTTATGTATATATATATATATGTGCATTTCAATAATTATTTATATGAAATAAAAACAAAAATAGCACTGTATATTATTTATATATGTATATGTATGTATATTTATATATATGTATGTTTATACCACTTTTTTATTAAAATTAAATTAAAAGTATTCAGGAAGTTCGCAATAGAATTACTTAAAATTTTCAATGAATTAAAAGAAAAATTTATTGTTGATTTGCTTTTATAAATAACTGAAAATCGGAATTAAAAAATTAAAAAGAATTAAAAACTGAAATGAAATAATTATCAAGTTTTTCATTTATATATATATTCCTTTAAATAATTTTACGACAATGTTTTTTTTTTTTTTTTTTTTTTTTTTTGCCTGCAATTATTCTATAGCAAGTTAACAAAATAAACTTTCAAAATTTTAAAAATAATGTTTAACATGTTAGAAATAATTTTAAGTTTTGAAATTATAAATAGACCTGTGAATTTCTTAAATTCACAAAGAATTTTTCAAAAAAATAATACTCAAACAATTTTACATTAAAAAAAAAAAAAAAATTCTTATTAAATGATTATTCAATGATTGTTTTTATTTTTTGTCTTCTTTTTTTTAAAAAAAGAATGCAATAAATATGCATTTCATCAGTTCATTTCCCACTATAGAAATCCAAATATGGATTACAGTCAGAATTGTCACCTAATCGTGAAATATTCTGCCAAACACCACAACAGTTCAGGTAACCATCGGAACCTTTTGAATCGGTCGACGAGACAAATGGTTGAATGTAGCATGGCGCAGTGAAACGTGTTGTCGCCAATTCTTTAAGTGATGTATAAGTTGCCAAACAACCACCGATCAATCCGCTTACTTTAATAAATAAACTCATTACATAATTAATTTTTTTTTTTTTTACAAATAAATATTAATATGAAAAAGAAAAAGTTGTTAAAACATTTTGGAAGAAAATTATTTGCTGTAAAAAAATTGATTTAATTTTTCAAATTTTAATTTTAATTTTGCAATAAATTTTAATTAGGTTTCTTTTTTTTTTTGTTTTTTAATTTTGTAACAAATTATTTTTTTTCTCTCTCGCTATAAAACATGTTGATTTCTCTCCCTAAAAAAAAAAAAAATCGAATATAGTTAAACTTTGATTCGTTTTGAATAAAGTTTTTTTTTTTTTTTAAAAAAAATCAAATATAACTAAACTTTGACCTTTTTTTTAAATAAAGTTTGCGTTTTTTTTTTTTTTCGTAAGTATATGGAAAGAAAAAAGAATGATAAAATGACTTATCATTATTTCACTGATTTTAAAAATTATGCATAAATAAGCTAAATCTATCCTATTCAATGCACATATGAATCACAAAAGTATTAACTATCAAATGATTTGTTAAAAAAAAAAAAAAATTTATAATTTTTCAAAAACTGTTTTGATTTTCTTCCACTGTCAACAATGTCACTACAAGCGCAAATTATAAAAGCGCAATCTGTCTCTTCTAACTATAACAATAATAATAACAATAATTGAATGTTTACAATTATCACTTTTGATATTCACATGATTAAACAGATCACATGACTTAATTGATGCAAAATATATTTTTCTATTATTCTTTGCTTACTTTGCATACAAAGAAGATTTTATTATTTGAGTGATAAGCGAATGATATTTTTATCTATTAAAAATTTGCACCATTATTGATTGATTACTTTGATTTAAATTTGTGTGTGAATATTAAGTAAATAACATTTAATGATATGCATAATCTTTTCTAATTTAAATTCATTCATTAGATAATATATATCTTATCATATCATATCATATCAGTTCTTATCTTATATGCTATGTAAGAGATCAATTCTTATTAAATAAAAGTTTCAAATGAAAATTTATTGGGAATTAAATAAGAAGAAAGTAATAATTAACTTACCAATAATTAATGAACAAATAATTAAACGCCGTCTGGGTGATCGTAATAAAACTCTACAAATAATATACATTATGTTTTTTTTTTTTTCTAAGAAAATTAATTTGCATTTCAATTTTTCTTTTTATTTTGAAAGAATGAATCAAATCCTTTTTTTTTTTTTTTTTTTTTCAAATTATTATCACTGATAATTTATAAACATATAGATATTTAATATATGAATTTTTTTTTTTTTTCAACAATCTTAAATCATATTTCAAAAAATGAAAGAGAAAAAAAATTTCACAAATTATTTTGTTAGAAAAAAAAAGAAATTGTTTAAAATGAAAAAATTTAAACTAACTCAGCTAAAGAAGGTATCTCATCTGGTTTTTTCTTTCCTTTTTCTTCAGCTATTTCATCGCCAACTGTTAAATACAGGTAGAAGAGACATGGGAAAATGAGTGCAGTAAGAGTTAAGGTTGAACTACCTACTAAACCTAATACAGGTCCAAATGAAGGTACACTTTCTGCAACAAAAACCACTGTTAACATCACTCCAGTTCGAACCAATACTCTTTGCCAACAAAAATCTAAAATTAATTATTTTAAATTTATAATTTTTTAAATAACAAAGTATTCATGGTAAATAAATGGCCAAATATAATTATAATAAAAGTTATTTATTATTATTGTCACCGCTATTTTTGCTTTTATCATTATTAATATTATGGCTATGATTATGGTTGTTGAAATTAATCTATAAATTTACATTTGAATAGTTCTTTTTTTTTTTCTTTGAAATTTAATTATAAATTGAAATAAGCTAATTACAGAAAAGAACGAACGATGTGGGACGCTAAAAATTTCCTCAGCTTCCTGATTGAGAGGATTAAAGACAATGGTAAGTGTAAGTATGCAATGAAGCGTTATTAAAATATTTGCGCCTTGCTGTAGTGCTGTATTTTGAACGGAATTAAGAATCGATTCACGTAATGAATTACCATACGTCATGTAAGCCAGAACGCAAACTGGCGTGTAAAGCAAATACACAACTGCAAATAGTAATTCAATGTTTGATTTAAAGTATGACAGATGAAAAGTATTTAAAATTTAAAATTATTAAATTAGCAATATATTGACATCTTCTAATTGTGTAAGAGAGTGAATTCAAAATTTTGAATAAATTTTTTTAGTTTTTAAATTCAGAAAATGTGAAAAAGAAAAAAACCGGAATTTAACTTACTAAGAAATGCCATTACGGATGATCGTGTAAAATGATACGGTTTCCGCATATCATGAAGAATGGTTGGAAATGCAGCATGTCCACCATATGAAAATAAAATTGTTCCGAGTGCAAGGAAATAATTTGTTGGCAAGAAATTATTATTTATTTCTCTTTCCGGAGCGCAAGTGGAATAATCCATTACAGCGCCAATCATAACCATTATTAGTGCAGCAGCTGTTGTAATCATTGCTAATATTATAGCCCACCTAATAAGTAAATGTATTTAATTTCATTTTCCACAATTATTTTACATTTTATTTTCATTTTTTCACTCTTTTTTTTTCTTTTCAGAATTATTTTGGAATTTCTTTTTTTTTTTGCTAAGATAAATAATTTATTAAAACACAGGAAAGTTTACATTTTATTGAATTTAGAATTTGCAATAAATTTTTAAATCACATTTTAAAATTAAGATATGTTTTGAATTTTTTTTTTTTTTTTTTTTGTATCAGTGTGTTTAGATTATAAAAATTATTGCATTTTTTACAGAATTATTTTGCATATATTTATAAAAGTTAAATTACCAGAAATCTTGTGGAGATTTTAGGAATGTAACAGGTAGAAGGCAAATACCAACTGCTAATATCACATAGCAAAATGATATTTCAATTTTGAAGAATGCATCAATAAAATCGCTTATATTTTTAGCTGATAATATCAGGTAAACAACAGCGATACCAAATTGTGTTATGTCAATGCATACTGATACTACATGCCTAAATAGTGAAATTTGAAATTGTTAAAATTAATTAACAAATTAATTCAAATATATTATCATAGATTAATTTTAATTGCTGTTCAAAAATATTTTTTTGATAAATCATGTTGAAATTTTATCCTTACATTTTTCTTCTTTATTTGTGTAATTGAATTACATTCAAAAGTGTGCAGAGATATTTCAAGTGAAATTTTTTTTTTTTTTTTTTTTTAAAGTGATATTTAAATAAAGAAATGCTTCTAGCTTAAATATGAGTTCAAAGTTCAGTTGATTTTGAGTGTAAATTTATCAAATTTTAATTGTTTCCACTTTTAGAAAGAATAAAATTTTAATCATCATTAAATAATTTCTGTTTCCATTTTGTATAAATTATCAGAAATAATCATTTGGAGAAAAAAAAAAATCTTTTTATTTGCATATTTTATTTGTCTTTTATTATAAAAATTTAAAAAATTTATTTTTTATTGAAATTTAAGCAAGAAGATTATCTAATCATAGTATTACCCATTGCTAAGAGAAAGTTACCCAATCTTAGTGTTACCCATTGTTAGGTGAAAGTTATCTAATCTTACTTTACAGTGCTACCCATTGCTCGTGCACCCATTTCAGCATATGGCTTTCGACAATGTTCCCTATATTCTGGCCATCTGCGCTGCAAAATAGCCCAGCCAAGGCCCAACATATGCGCTGTATATGTCATTGCTAAAGCCATCATTGTATTCATTATTAATCCAGGCCAAAAATCTGGAAAATCAGTATTATTTTATTTTTTAATTCTAAATTTTACACATTTTTATGTATTAAAAAGCATTATTTTATAGAAAAGTTAAAATTCAATATTTTAGAAAGTTTTATTTTAAAAAATTTAAAACAAATACATTTTATATGCATGCTTACTTGTTTGCACAATAGCTGCTGGTAAAGCGACAATACCGCCACCAGCTAAATCACCGACGACAAAAAAACTTGTTATAATCCATCCTAAGCCTTGTTCATTCCGATGTCTTTCAATTGCATTTTTTTCACTTTCCATTCCAAATGATCCAATAGTTACCACAGACTTTCCTTTTTTCATAATTTCTAAAATTAAAAAAAAAATTTTTTTTCACTTATTTAAATTTATCAAAAGATTTTAAAGATACGCTTTTAGCTATAAAAATTAAGAAAAAAAAATTACAATGCTAGCAAAAATTTTAAGAAAAGAAAAATAAAAATTTAATTAGTAATATAGAAAATAGAAATTATATTCAACAAATAAAACTGAAATTTTGAAAATAAAACTAAATGTTTAATTAATATTATTATTATTATTGAAATGAAACTTAAATTTCGAATTATTTAATTTGAAAGAAAAAAAACAAACAAACAAATAGTATCAAAACTAAATAACAATTCTGATTGTGCAGATATTACTACTAGAATTAGTCCTTTTTATACAACAAATATTTCCCACCCACCCATCCATCTCCCTCTCTCTCTCTCTCTCTCGGTCTTTTGGCTGATTTTTATAGATTAAAATTTTATATTTTAATTTGGATGGTTATACTTAGTCAAAAGATGTAATAAATATGAGAGTGTAAAGAAAAAGAAAAATAGAAAAGATGAATTTAAAAAAAGAACGAAAGAAAAAAAGGGTAGTAAAGTTAAGTTTATTTAAGATGAAAGAGGTCAGTTAGGTCAAATAATGTTCAAATCGTTCAGCAACTAAATTCCATTCAAAAATGAATGATTTCTTTTGTGAAGCATAAAAAAAAAATTTGTAAAAGTCCAACCTTCCACAGTAAACAAATTTTTTTCCTTTTTTCCTTTTTTTTTTTTTTTTCTTTTTTTTTGCTGACGAAGGAGAATTAGAGCGTACGACTTTTGAACTAAAAATGATTGATCATAATTTGAATGAAAATGAAACTGTAAACTTTAACAGGACAAATTAATGAAGTAAAACACTTTTATCAAATAAATTATGAATTTAAAAAAAAAATTTATTAATGAAGTAAAATATTTTTTTAAATAAAAATGAATGAAATGAATTTCATTTAAGTTTTGTTTCATTAAAATATGCAAATCAAAGAAAAAAAAGAAAACAGAAAAATTTTTAAATCATATTGGAAAAGAAAAATTGAAAAAAAAAAAATAAAAGGAAGCATTCTGATTAGTAATATATATTAATTTAAAATGTTACTATATGATATGATAATAACATTTTAATTTGTTCACATTTTAATGAATGATTATAACATTGAAAATTTAGCTATAAAATTCAATTTAATTTACATGTAAATTATAAGTAAGCATAAAATAAATATGATTGTAAATAATATTTTCCAAATTATATTCTAATTAATAGATTTAATTTTATTTGAAATCTTTATTGATAATAAGTTGTTAACAAATAATTTAAAAATAATAATATAACAATATTAATGGCAAGGAAAAGTTTATAACTCTAGAATTTATATCAAAAATATTTTAGTAGCTTTTACAAAACTCAAAAAAAAAAATAATAATAATAATAAAAAGTCTTCCGTCACAGAAGTCATGTTAAGTTAATATTTAATAGTTTTTATAAATAATATTTTAGTAAAAAAAAAAAAAAAAACCAAAAATTGATTATATGAAATGATAATAACCAATGCAATTTCTGTCTAAAATATTTCAATAATTCAAAAATTTATTGCAATACAACTATCAAAACGAATAATAATTATTATTTCAATGAATTTATATGTGATTCCTATTTGAAATTATGATAAGCAATAACAAATAATTTTAAAGCAATAATAGATATATATATTGATGGTAATGAAAAGTTAAATTTAAATTTTTGAATTGTTAAAGTTAAATTTTTGTAATATTACAGAATTCATATCAAAAATACTAAAAAAAAAAGAAGAAAATGAAATAACATTAGCATTTATTTATTATTAAGAATTACGAGAAAAAAAAAAAGGAAAATTCACAACAACCAATTAATTACGTTTAATATTGAAAAAAAAAATTTTTTTTTCTTTTTTCTTTACTCATTTTTAGTAAATTCGAAGAAAAAAAAAAAAAAAAAAAAACGAAGAAAACATGTTTTCTGTTGTAAAAAAAAGTAAAGTTCAAAAGTTAAAATAAAAAAAAAAAAATGCCATTGGAATTTTTATTTATATTTAAACTCAACTGAATCATAATAAAATCAATTAAATGTATTTAAACTTTTCCTATTAAGTATAAGTTAATCATGTTGTTCTTCAATAACAAAAAAAAAAAAAAAAAGATTTTTTTTAGGTAATAAAAAAAGTATTTAACAGTAATTTGATGTGTTATTGTAATTTATTAGTAGTTTTAATTATTGTTAAATGATAATATTATACTTTCATTCATTCAATGTTTACTCATTGAGATTACTTTGCTTTTGATATAACTATTAATTAAAAAGTAAAATTTAAATTTAAATTTTCATATTGATTAATTTTTTTTTAATTTGTATAAGTTAAATTTGAATTATTTATTTTTTACTAAAATATGTTTTATAGCATTGGTAAACATGTAAATACAGATCATTGATCATAATTTATGCCAAAATTGTGTGATCGATAAATATTTGCAATTGGAATAAATTTATGTTACAATAAAGAAACATTTGAAAAAAAATATTAATCAATTTTCAACTTTTTTGCATTTCTTTAAGCCATAAATTTTATAATCAAATTAATTTTTTTTTTTTTTAAAACAAAAAGAAATATGTATTTCAATATATTTGGATACTCTTTTTTTTTTAAAATTTTATTTTGAAGCATTAGCTAGTTATTGCTACCAGGTAATGTCTTACAGTTTAAAGTTGAAAACATTCATTTGTATGCATTAATTTAGTTTTTTGGATTAAAATAAAATCTAAAAATGAAATCTTAAAATGAAAACATCAAAGTATATTTGAGTACTTTTTGAAATCTAAAATTTAAATTTCAATTAGTAAATTTTGGTCAGTTATAGAATAGAAATGAAGGTGATAGTTTATTTTGATAAAGAAGCTGCAAATAATTAAATATATAATTTCATCAGTCTAAAATTATTACCTCCTTTAATCCTGGAATAATTGAATTATTCTTCAAAATGTTTACCCAAAATTAATTAAATATTAAATAATAACCTGCGTACATTTATTTGAAATTAAATTTAGGGTCATCTTATCTTATTGGAAGTACAATTTTTATGTCTGATATATCGGAATTTATTAATTGATGAAGAATATATAATCGATTACTGAATAAATTGTTTACATAAATCACTTTGCTATTATAAATGATTCACGTAAATGAAATTATTTCATCACGAACATAAGTGTTCAATATAAAGGTTAAGGGTTAAAGGTTAAAGGTAAAGATTGCATTAATTACTCATCAAATTTAAATATTATACAGTCATTTTTGTTAAAATTTTAACATTTGTTTTTTTTTTCTCATTTTTTTGTTTTTTGATAAAATATTGTTTAGATTATTCTTTATAATTAATATTTTTTTTTTCATCGGTATTTCTCGAAAATATCAAAATTATTAATTAGTAATATCAATTTAGCTATATTTTTGTCTTTTTAAATTAAATTTTGATTAATAGTATCAATTGTAAACATATGAAATTGAAATATTTTATATATTTACATATTGTATTAATGGATAATATTTAAATTTAATAAAAGATAATCAAATTCAATAATATTTCTTTCTTTTTTTTTTCTGCAGAAATGATAGATTGATATCATTTCAAGATTTTCTTATTCATTTTTTTACAAAATTGATTATTTGATATAATATAGTGTGATTAGAGAAATTTTTTTTAGGTGGATAATTTTATGCCAAATAAATATTGTAAATATGATTAGAAGTTTTTTCTTTTTTTTTTTTTCTTTTATATTTTAAATGATAAAAGTTAAAAGTATGATAATTGCATAACTGATATGATATTAATTGCTAGTTTTGATATTTAAAAAAGACATAATCAATTTAACAGTTCGCAAAGAATTACAATTACACATAAGCATTATTAACTTTATTATTTTTATTTTTTTTTTTAAAACAATTTTATCTGTTGCAAAATCTTTTTTTTTTTTTTTTTTGTTTTTCTTTTCTTCTGTTTTTTGAAAAAGACTTAGTTTAACAATTTAAAGTAGCAAATGCATCTGTCAATTTTTGACGTAATATACTTTCGGTATTACAAAAGTATAATGAACAGATTGTCATCTGATTGAAATGTACTTTGATGAAAAAGACATCCATAGTCTATTTTATGATTTTATTTTATTTTTTTTTTTCCAAATTTATGAATGATATTTCTTTGCTTGAGCAGAGATAACTGTAAATGTTATGTGTCGTAGGTAATAAATTCAATTCTTCTCTTATCTGTTCTCAATTTAAAACAGGTTTATTTGAAGAAAATGAAAACAGGAAAATGTATGTTTAATTAGTTGGAATGCAAATGATTTAAATGATAACAATAGCAAGGGACGAATAGCATTCGCATATTGCTGATAAAAAAATAAATAAATAAATAAAAAAGGAAATAAGTGAAATTTTTAGCTATTATATGATTTATATTGCTTTAAACACTAATACTTTTATTTTTTAAGAACTAAAAATTTTAAGATTGAGATATTTTATGATAGCAAATTTGCATATTTTTAAAAGAGGAAAGTTTTGAAATTAAAATAACAAATAAATGTAATTTGTAATTTCAAATGATTGTATTTTGGTATTTATTCTAAAATTAAACAATTTAATTTATGTTTCATTGATATCTTTCTCTTTTTCTCTCTCTCTCCCTCTCTCTTTGACGATTCGTTAGAAGAAAAAAAGAAAAGGGAAAGGATAAGGCTAAATAAATCAAATTAATTTGTTTTATATTTACTAATTTAATTTCATCGATCAAATAATAATCATTACAATAAAATGGGATTGAACTTTAGAAATTAACACCGATTGAACTAAAAATAGTTCAAAAAAAAAAAAAAAAAAAAAAAATCAAAAATTGAAAGTTAAACAAAACTGAAATGAAACTATCAGATAATAATTTTAAAAGTTATCGATTTGTTGACAATATTTG